GGCATCGCTGTTGAGATAACTCCATTATAAATGATGGCAATATCAAGTAGCAAACTAAATTCAATTATTTGGATTTATCAGAAGGATTTCCGCCTGGTCAGGAGGAGACGCTATGACCCAGAAATCGATTGTAATTGCGGAAATTGTATTACGTTGTCATGTAATTAGACATCGGATATTGTTAATAACATTATGATTGATCCTTTAACAATATGCCATAATGTTGATGCAGTGTTATCTTTAGGATACGTGTGAATCGGTGATCAGCCATTGTCTGGTGGTCAAGATGTATACCATAACTCGTAGTGTGGATGTCAGAGCGCATAACCCAAACTAGAAATAATGTGCAACTTCATCACTAAAACGCTTGTAACATATTTTAGGAGGTTGTGTGTTTGAGACTCTGAGTGAGAATGGCAGTGAACATCGAGTTTGTCGCTGAGTATTCAATTGGAAGCAGTTCTTTTCATATTGTCTTTGTTTCGAACGCTTAGTTCGTTGATTGAGCTGATAAATGTTTTATAGATACAGTTCACTTAAGGACGGCGGTTAAATGAAATCAGTCGATTCTACGTTCTTTGTAGACTGCAGCTTGATGTGTTGTGATTCAAATACTTCTTGTGTGACATTTCTCCCGATCAGCTGACAACTCGTGTCGCTTTGTTATTTACACTCTGTGCTCTTATTTCAAGAAGTGTGTATTAAGTACTCTATAGCATTCTAATCATGGGTAAAATCCAGAGCGTTCCTCAAAGATTAAATCTCGCAATTCGGAGACCAAAATTAACACAGGAAATACAACAAAATAGATAAAAAAAAAAAAATTGAAAAATTAAGTTACACTTTGGACAGCACGTGTAATTTTCATGTTCTACCTGGTGGGATTTTTTTTTTCTCGACAGTAAAGATAAATTAGTAATTACGGACTTTGCGTCCTTGCAATAGCCATGATTAAATTAAGACAATATCTATCGACCACTAATGGACACATGCTATTTAAAGTGCTATCACGCTGAAATCTCATAATCCTGGCAGGAAAACGTGATATTTGACCCTGTCATAAACTCTTGTCAATTGCGAGAACGCTTTACACACGCATTATATTGTTAACGTACCGAACCGTCATTGTGCATTCTATGAAATGCTTAACGATAAAACAACAGATGTCAATAAATTTGAAAGCATAGACAGAAATTGTAAACATATTTTCTATTCCATCACATATTATCCATAACGGATTGATATACATGCAAGCATGTCACTCTCCCTGTAAAATGTTAAAAATCAATCATATGTTGCATATCTGTTTTGTCTTTTTATGTTCTTTCATATGTTTCAAAGGTGATTGCGATAACGATTCATTTGATACAACGAAGTTTTATCTCGAATATCTTTTCAGAAAACCCTAACTGTTATCTGAAAATAAAATTTGACATTTGATCAGAAGAAAACATCAATTTACATAGATGCTTTGTTGATATCTAAAAACCCCAGAGACGACGTTAATGATTTTTTCCCTGAATTGATGGAGTCGACTGTACTTTTGTTAAGGATTGATAGGTAGAAATGAGAGGAAAATGCGAATTAAGATCCTTTATAATGTAAAAATGTAACTATCTAAACCATACGCATTCCTTTGATCATCCCAACATCTGGCTAAATGTTTTGTAAAGATCAAGACATGAAAACTAAAATTAGTAAAACAAACAAAAAACAAAACAAAACAAAAAAAACTCTACTCTTAGGTTAGACTATCAATACAAATGGCAAATCTTATATTAGTACATGTATATTAAGACAGTGATTGAAATACTTTTGTGAATTGTGAATTTCATTTATTGATACTATGTTGCTATTTAATTCTAATACCTCTTCAAAGTACATTTTGCTACAAGAGTTAAAAAGGTATGGCAATAGTGATTTACGACAGATTCCATGAACAAAATGGCACGTTTTATCCAAAGATTATCAGAAAGGGCGATCAATGTGTCCCTAGTGTTCTCTTCTATGTCTCAAACGTTGGAAAAATTGTAGAAACAAAGATTGATTTGATGTCCCTTATCTGCTGTGTCTTGAGGTTTGTGCCGTTTCTTTCCATCTCCTGTCTAGTGTTTGTTTTCGGTGATATCTCCTTAGGCGCTCATCTTGGTTTGACCTCGGATAATACGAGGACATAAAATCTCTGTGAAACGAAACTTGAAAATGCTATTTCAATCGTGTGGCGAGTGATTCTAAAGGTGAACTAGTTGCATACGTTCTCGATATTTTTCTTTACATTTCTTTGGCTGGCAGTGTCTAGTATGCTAACACTGGTGTTGAAGTCATGCAATTCTGGCTGAGGTTTTGCTCCACCAGCGATTAACAGTGAGAATTTCTCTTCTTGAAAGTTTGAATCGATGGAAATAAAACGAAATTAACGGATATTGCAAATACAGGATCGTGTTTCTGTGATTGTCAACCACATACGTATGTACAGCATTATATACAAAATTTATACGTCTGGTACATGCAAGTCGTTAAAATAGCGCTGCTGTTACGGAATGACTCTGGGATAGCACTGAATGCAATTATGAACTATAAAGATTGGACAGTTTCGATCGTAAACACGACGATATGGATGCTCAGCCCCATCCTTCATGTCAACGACAAGGCGGACATCGATAGAGAAGATAAAAGTAATAAAAAGGTGAATCTCCTTGAAAAAGTCTGCAGTCAAACCTTCAACATTTTGAACATTTCCTAGAGAACGAAGGTGCTATATGGCGAACCCTCAGCCTCCAGCCTCCTCTGCTTGTCATATTTAAATTGTCCATCTGCGTATAAAATGTCATCATTGCCAAAAATCCTAAAAAAAAAAGGTCCAAAAATCAATTGACATTGTACCAGCGACGTGAAAAAAGTAGAAGACGTTCGCATATGAAGCTGTAAAAAGAACTTTAGATATTTATATATATATATAGTTTGAAAATATAGAAACAAATTTTAGGGCAATTAAAACAATTAATATATTTGTCACATGAACTGGATTTCCGGTGTCCCGGAAAATATCCTTTATATTCTACTCGTATGACATAACATCTATTTTTACGAATGTTCAAGGAAAAACTATTAACATTTCTTTTGTTACATCTGCATAGGAAAAACAAAACATATTCAACCATAAAATAAAAAGAATTGAAAATATGTGCTCACTCTTTCACGCTAGATAATATGACGTTACACTTGACCAAACGACGCCATTTTGAATAGGTTGCTTCACGTTGTATTCTACCATTTCATGTTATTATCGGATAGGAATCACTTTCAAAACTGAATCTATATACCAAACAGGAGAAAAACCAGAAAAGTTAATTAGACATATTTGATAGAAAGCTAACTTATTCATCCAACGTTTCACTCTTGTCTTAACAGGAAAATCGGCGAATTTCAATGCAGTGACTAGCAAGCACCGATATGTGTGATCTACAATAGCTATTTCATAGTGATAATGTAAGATTTCTTATATCGTCATCACAAAATAGGTTTTTATCAAATTGATGGATTCCAATATCTCAAAGGCAAAAATCTATCTAAAAATATAACTATGTATATACCCATGCATCAATTACAGCCATGAAAGCCGGGCTGTGTCAGGAGTTAACATAGCTTCGTTTGGGTTTTGTCTGTCTGTCGTCTTATCAGTGAGATAAAATTAGGCTTAATCCCTTTTACCACTCATTGCTATCAATTTCAACCATTTTTCTTTAAATCAGTTATATTAATCGTCCCTGAGAAAATGTATCAGAGTATGGCAAAATGTTGGTTTTATCAACATTATCAGGGTCATCAGATTATGTTCGTGTAGCCAATGACTTTGTATAACAGCGCGCGGAATCTAATTTAGTTGCCACTTTACAATTATGAAATGGAACGTCTGGTACAATTTTGCGCCCTACCTGCATGTCAGCGACATCCGAACTAACACGTATTTCAAAGCCAGTATGGTTGTTTTGTTTTGTACTGTTCAGCATCCTATCAACAGCTATGATCGATTAAACCACGAACTTCCTAAATATGCGAAGGCAAGTGTTTAGTGCATGTGTTTAAGGAAAGTTGCAATATGTCCGTGTAAGCCTCCTTGTTATGCAGAATCAAAGTCAAATTTTTAGTGTAAAATAAATTGCTGCAAGCTCCAAGTTAAAACGAAAGAAACAAACGATATGCAATCAGTATAATTGGCAAGCATAGAGCGCATGTAAGGTATTGTTCGTAGTAAAATATATCAAGTGCTTATCACACACTTCTTGCTGGTATGGAACACAAATAATTAATTATTAGAGAGGATGTTTTTTGCAGAATTCGAGATCTTTCCCAGAAATTAAAATGACAAAATGAAGGCAGCATCAGGGGAAATTAAGAAAGAAGATAGCTTTGTAGGTAGAACAAGATAAAGAATCAGAAAGTAGTCACCCATTTCAGTCATCATTTGGGATCAACAAGTCGTATTATGGTGTCCTTCTTTCGCTGCGAAAGTAGATTGATAATATAGTCTCCTTGTACATGACATAGCATTAGAGATTTTCCGAACACATTGCAGAGCTAAAGGTTTCGTTTGGTACTTTGGTACAAGATGAGGTATCTTCCAAAATTAGCTTTGCTATATTTTTCTTCTTTGTGGTAAACTACTTTTCTACCGGTTTCAAGCTGGTCACACAATCCATCTAGTGCAAGCACTTGTTTGTGTGGGAAAGATCTAAAAAAAAGACGGATGCATTCATTTCAACACCCCCCCCCCCCCCCCGCCTTTCAATTTTTATGTGTAAACGTATTTTACTTTCCTAGGCAATACCCGCACTGGGGGAGATCCCCAAGGGCTACAAATTCTAACATTCACGTTCACTAGAATGTTGTACAAATTATTTCAGATAGCCCGCATCGACAAAATGTCCGCGAATAACGCGTTCAATCTATACGTGTATTGTATGAGTAAGGGTTAGGGGACTGCCAGTTGCGTTATTAACATGGACAGCCAAAGATGTCCGCGATGTAAGAAACGTGATGAAAATGAAGAATTTCACGTGAAACGAAATCGTCGGAGTTATTCAGCAGAGTTAAAATTGAGAGTTGTAGATTATGCGGAGGAAAATAGCAATAGGGAAGCTGGTAGAATTTTTAAGGTCGATGAAAAATCGGTAAGACAGTGGCGACAGAAAAAAGATGAAATTTCTGCACTTCCTCCAGCCAAAAAAGCAAAACGAACTGGCAAAACATCGTGGCCTGCATTGGAATCCGAATTACTGAGATGGATTAATTCTCAAAACGGAAGTGGTCGTTCGGTTTCAATTGACTTGATAAGATTCAAAGCAGAATCGCTGGCAATTAAAATGGGATTTAAAAACTTTAAAGGTGGTGTTGGCTGGTGTTTCAGATTTATGAAACGAAACAATTTGTCTTTTCAAAATCTTACTGCAATTCGCTAGAATAACTATGAACACGATGAAAAAGAACTTTCACAAAAATCGTGGTGTGGGAAATATGGATTCGTATTACATCTATCAGGAATGACGGTGATATCCTTTTTGAAATATTGAAAGTAGACAGAACCGATCAGAAAATATATTTACAGTCTTTTTATTATCTTGAGGAGGGGCAGTAAAACTAGATTCAAGAATCTCAAATGCGTAAGAGGCACAAAGGTCAAGTATTTACGCGAAACAGAAACCAATAATGGACAGAAGTGACTGCCCAGAAACAGGAACATGAAAACAAAATTTGAACTCGAACTTACGTTTTCAAGATATTTTGTATATTAACCGGAGGCCTCACGAAAATGAAATGATCATCATGAGTTTCAGAGTGTTTAAGGTAAGCCTGATGTTGTTTATATTGTTGTTAGTTCTAGTAACAGCTAATGTTAGCAACTAACGAACGCCCTGTTAATCAGTGGGAAGTGAGTACATATGTGGTATGTGTATATTGGCGGATGTGATATGTTCTTGTAAACCTTTATGTGAAAGTGGTCAAATAACTCGTGTATCCATCAACAAAAAGATCAAGAAGTCATTGGTTGAAGTTAAGCATACGGTAATAAAATATCGTTGATGTTTACCTCCAACACTCGTTAATTACTATACCGATACATAAGATAACTATAAAGATATAGAACAGCAGCATTTTTTTTTTATTTCCGTGGTGTCGTTGATTCGTGAACATAACTTCAGCACCTAACAACAGCGCCGTGCACTGGGGACATGCATCAGTTGTCATGCATGTCTTTTCGACCGGATACTCAGCTGAAAACAAACCAAGTGGTCTTTTGCGGAGTTCATAAACATATGGGGATCTCTAGAAATACCGTAGCAAATCGTGCTGCAAATTCAGCTTCGTCATTCTTACCATTTTTCAAAAACTTTTCAACCTTTAATTCATGTGTTATGACTTCCGGCGGATAAACAATCTTTGCTGACGGAAAACAATATACAAAATATAGTTGTATAAATGTATTTCCGGTTACAAAGATACATGGGAACAGGATTGTAGTTTCCACTCTGCGATATTCTTATGCATTAGTGTCGTTTAGAGATGATCAATTATATGGTATTCTCGATTGATCACCTGTATTTGATCTGACCGGTTTTATCCTAGTAAGAGAGTATGCTATTTAAAAGAGGCAGGTCTGTATCTGCAATGCTGTTCCGTTTATTGTTCTTTCATTTTTTTCTGGCTTGGTCTTAAATGAATTTATCATACCATGATGTTTGTCAGCAGGGTTAGATGTCAAGGAATTGCGTGGACTGCCGCCAGAAAGCAATTTGCAAGACTGTATTTTGTGTTATTGATGCTTCAGTCGCTAGCCAGAACTTCCTTCGTGATGATGACACAAGCGTACGATAGAGAATCTCACTGTCAATAACAGCTTTTGTTTGTATTTGCCATCGTGAGTTTTACTTTGAATCTGAGCAGGTCTAATTGGAGAGGTGTCTCCTTTTTATCCACATGTTTGAGAATGAGACAAATTACGGCAGATAATTCGATAATTCTTTAAACAAGATCATTATGGTAATAGCTTTTGCAACAATAGACACGCGTGATTTTGTTTCAGATACAGCATTAAGGACCTATTCGTATGAACAAAGTGTCAGACAATTTGTTTTCTTTAAGTAAATCCCTATTTCACAGAATGTGTAGAGATCAGTAGATCACAGTAAAAGCTGAAAATGATGATTGCAAATGTTTATATGAGACAGACTTAAAAATCATTAAACAAATATTATTTTCATACTAAAACTTCATAATTTAATTTAAAGCCGACAGTGGCAATCTATTTTCTATCGGACTGTTAGAAATGAGCACGAGATGATGCTGGTTTAGAAATGTCATTTTCATGTCTTTCAATATATTGCATTATTGTTGCTGAATATTGTGTTCAATGGCTACATCCGCCGGTTTTAGGCTACAAAACAAAATTATGAGTTCCATTTTAATTAAATCAAGAGCAGTGATTCAGATCCCGATCAACTAATATTTATAAAATGGACGATTCTTGAGATTTGATATATTCTGACAAATTGTGAATAATTGAGAGAATCCTTTCGTTATACATTGTTCGTCTGTCCCATGTTCATATCAGTTCCACCAATACATCATAAAAACAAGCGACGGTTTTAAATTATTCAGCGACGTAAAATTATCGGTATCACGTGTTGCCCATTTTGATCGTCAAGAGTGGAGCGAGCTGCAAATGTTTTGAAATACGGTATTCAGGATTCAAATTAGTATAAACCTATGATCTACGCATAGGGGGCGGAGGGAATATTTTGTTCTGTTCAGATAATGTCATTTCGGACACAACACTAAACTGAAGAGAGGTGAACGTGATATTTTGACGGAGTGGTTAAATGTTGAAAATAACATCCGAAAGATGACGTTTATGTTTATCGTGTATTCATAGCTGACACATTTGGATAACTTTGATATTACCTTTGTGCGATAACAAAGGATTCAATTATTAAACTAGATTATTGAAAACAGCAAGAAAACACCAACATGTCAATAAAATCATATAATTAGGACCCATTTATCAGCCAAATAACACGAAGAGTCATGCGGATTTAACTCATTGTCATTAAATATTATCAAACACCAGAGAAAAAAAATACCCAAATACTTCGATAAGTATTTTCATAAATAGTAACATAATTTCTTGTTTGGGTTATACGTTATGACAACAGCCATGGTCACTGCTGCCCGGTGATGGTGCCGTTGACGCAACCTTTTGTAGCGTCATCACACTGAAACTGCATAATCTGAACAAGGTAGCATGACGAAGAAGTCACAAACCTCACTGTTCACTTAAAGCCGAACATCAATAAGAATAATTACCCTTTTAACAATACCAATTTAACGACTTTTACAAAGGGAATGCCACACCCACTGTAACGTTCCAAACGAATGGTATAGAAATATTTCAAGAAACATTACATTGATCGCGACCGATTTCAAGTCTTCTCTTGCGCCTGATGGGCTTCAGCAATTTAGGTCCTTGACATCATTGACGAGTCATAGGGGGAAGAAACAGTTGTTTTAAGTGGTTTGATCCGCTGGTTTGCTCTTCTATTTGTAATTGTATAACGAAAGGTGTTATTCGCTTGTGTGTATTTTGTACCACCATTGATATAGCATACAACCAATAGATACACAACACTTTTCTTTTTATTCTCTAAATTTCTAGACTTAATATATACTGTTTTTTTTCTTTATGACTGTCGAAAACAATCGGTTTAACACATTTCGTCATGGCTGGAGATCATAAACTGCATTGTTTTAAACTATTAGCTTTGACAAAACAGTCGTTTGTATTACAAAACTCTAGGCTTTAAAAGACATATAATGAACCCGAATACCTTTCTGCTCTTCATACACTATCATTTCCAATGTCATTCGAATCGAGCTAATAGCTTTTTCGGAGATTGATGTACACTTGGGGATATCACAAAATGAAATTCTGTCTGCAACACTTGAATATGCCGCGATTAACCTCCCACCTATATTCTATAAGTGTACGTTGGAATGTTGCAGTTTTTGTTAAAAAATATATATTCAAACATGTTTTTCCGTGTTGTTATCATATCCCATAATTAGGATCTCAGACTGTATATGGTGATATGGTGATATTGGGTATTACTTGAATTCACTGAAACACTGATCGTAAACATTCTGATGTGTTCTTTTGTCGAATACTAAGAGGCTATTCACGCGTTTTTTCAATCGAAATGGCTTTATAGTTCAGTCCACAATAACAAATAGGAAAAGGGATTTGGGTTAAACTTAAGAATCATGCGAGTTCAAATTGAAAGCGGGTTGTAGTGGTAGTTAGTTTTCATATAATAGATATAAGACCTTTCGAATGTTTTAAGTAGACTGCGAATAACACCTTTATCAAAAATAATTACCCTAGTTGTGAAGAGTCAAACATTGAACACAACGCTTGGACCGCTCAAATATCCTAAGTCATTTCCAATATATATGTTGAGTGTTTTGAGGCACTAAGAATTTGTAAGACTCTATATTAAAACGTTGTGTTGTTTTTGCAGTTGATTATACAATATCATACATCAAAAGAAAATTAAAACTTTACTATAGAAAGAAAAAAGAACGGAAAGAAAACACTCAGTATGTTCCCTTAATTTACATGTCAAATGTGATAGTATCAATCTTACAAAGAGACAGCGAGCTAAAGCAGTTCATGATAGCAGGGTTTATTTCTTGATATTGCTTATCCCAGCTAATAATACAAAACTGAAATAGTTTTGTATTTGATAATTGTTTTTTTAATCAAAATGCAAGTTTCTTATGAAGATTCGGTGATTGAATGTTCACATGTCAAGTCTCATCAATTAAACATATCTATTAACCAAAATGATTCACTCTTTGAAATTAGATTTTTGTTTTTTTCTCATTTTAAGAAATATCTTCTTATAAAACAAATTTTAAAGTTATTTACTTAAACCATTCAATGACAACAGAAATATATTCACCTGTATATGTCTAAGGTTTACAGCATTAACTAAAGCTGAAAAGTAGAAAGGAAATCGACTGTTGTACGTGATTGAGTCTCCATGATTACCATGCTCAATTAATTCAAGATCACACTGACGCTTTAAGCATTAAAAACACCTGAAAGAAATCGTGGTCATTAAAACGCTTCAGGCGGAGACCAAATGACAGTTCTGGAATTTCGGGATGAAATAACAATTTTTTCAAAACTGCTTTTTTTTTCGAATCACATTTTCTATTCGTTTAGCAGTATTACCGTTATAGCAGAATCAGCCAGGACTTGAGTTAAATTACATGTGGCATACCATACTAATTATCGATATTGTAATGCTTTAGGTTGAAAGATCATA